CTGTCTTGTTTTTTCAATTGCTGCACTATGTCTTAGTGATATGAAATATAGGCAGTCTTTTCTATATTACACCTCTTATAAATTTCAGCTTGATAAAGCTATAACCTATTTACAGAACAATGAATTAAATTAGATACTGTTGTAAGATGGAGCAGCTTTTTCATTGAATTGTTGTCTGCCATCAAAAAACACATTTTATTTTGCTACCTCGAGTATTTCCCTTTTTCTGTCATCTCTCTTCATTTGAAATTAAATCAAGAAGTTATGTATTTTGCAGTAGTCATTACTTTGGAAAGTTTTGGCTCCCCTGAGCTAATGCAAGTGTATTTCAGCTGAATATATACATGTCATGCTATTCCCTTATTCCTTACAGTCTTAAAAACTTGAAGTATTTTTCTTGATAGAAATTCAATACAACACATTTCACTTTACACCTGACTGGACTGTGTTGTATTACATTCAGAAGGCACAAGTTACTTTAATTAAAACAAATTGACTACTGGATTTTGGAGTAAAGATTAATATACTGCTGAACAGTGTTAATTTCGTCAACGCCCCTTTTTCCCGTGACGATTACGAGACGATAATGCTCAAAAGTTGTTTCCAGAAAATAAAAATATGATGAAAATAAAAAATTGTTTTCATTAACGAGACTAAGACCAGACGGAATGTACGAGCCATTGACGAATGGACATTAAGAAATCTAGTTGTTTATAATTAATTTTTTATTTTTTATTGTTAAGTGTTTCTTGAGCTTCATAAATAACGCCTGGATGTATGGAGCCATTTTGTTTACAACGCCAAGGAGAACACTGAAGGAAGGATGCCACCAAAGAGTCTGCAGTTTCAAAATGGCAGGGAAAAACACAACAAATCTCAAGCGACATCTAAGATGCCAACATGCTGCCATATGGAAGAATGTAAGGAACGGATGGGCCTGTAGTAGTAGGAACGGGTGTGCGTGTGCGCGTGCATGCATGTGGATGTGTGTGTATGTGTGTGCGTGCCTTCCTGTGCCTGTTTCTGTCTCTCTGTCATAGAAGAAAGATGTTCTACTGATACACTGGATATTAATGGTTTAAATTTATTCCACCCCAACTAGATTCCTGACACAGTGACACCACAGCCAAATCAGAGGTTGGGGAAGGAAGGGAAGTCTGAGGATGAAGATTTTGTGGATATGATGAAACAAGCTGACAAAAGTTTCAATGTGTACAGTGTCATATATGTTAAAAAGAGAATCAGTGTGTGGAGAAGTGCTATTATTTAAAGTGTTGACTAAAATGACAAAAAATTGACTAAGACTAAGATTGATTTTGTAATTTTGACCAAGACTAAATTTGGAAGGCAATGACTAAATATGACTAAGACTACATTTGATTTTTGTCATTGTGACTAAGACTAAATTTAAAAAAGCTGATGAAATGAACACTGCTGCTGAATATAAATATAAAAGTTTACGCCTATACATATCAGCTTGAATTTTAAATTTGGTCAAGAGGACATGGCATAAAAAAACTGACTCCTCACTAGTACAGTACTCACAATTTTTTTGTATCAGTCAAAGAATTTTCTGTGGGAAAGGTGTATCTTAGTTAGATGCCTGCTGCATTTTCAGTGTTTATAGACACCCCAGAGTTATGGTCTTGAATTTTACAGTATTGTTTTGGAGACTTAATACAAATCAAATAACAATGTTCCATATACTGCTTTCAGATACAAGTCTAGCAGTGATGTTTAGATGTTTTACCAATCCAATACAACCTATTCCAAGCCAAATCCATTTCATCCTCTCTGCAAGTTCAGTTACAGACAGATCAAGCTTTTCACCCCAAAAAGTAGTACCCTGCGCTTCACCATAACAGTATGACAGACGAAAACTTGGGGAGATGCCCGTAGCTAACCCAGAATATTCTCTTCTCTTCATTATATTACTTGCCTCTGCAGACTACTTAAATGGAAACTAGGATTTTTTTTGCTGCACTACAAAGTGCTGGCTGAAATAGCAGAAGCATATGTAATAATGCTATCTGTCTAATATTTCAAGAATGACATAAGCATTCTGCCTGTGTAAATTCTGAGTCTTCAGGGTCATGGCAACCACAAAACGGGTTTAAAGTAGAAGGCAACCTGACTTTTATTTTTTTCTTATCAGGGAGTCTTTGTCCATTATTTCGGCATCAGAGAAAGCTAAAATTAGAGCTGTGATTACTTAGTTTAATTCTATTTAATTCTAAGTCAGATGCAAATAAAGTAGCAACTAGTCATGCCCCTGGAACGTAAGGGTCTCTTGTGTATGAAAACAAATTTGACAGAAACTCCTGTCTTGCAAACCTTTTTTAGACTTAAAATGGCCCCTCTATAAACAGTTTGATTAAAAATGGACAATTTCATCTCTCACTTATAGCCTTTTCATGCTGGTTGGTGAACCTCAGCCAAAAAACTTTTGCAGCCTCTGCTGTAAAAGAATTATATGATAATAATACAGAAGAGATCAATAATCCTTCACAATCCTTAATCTTGAATCAATCTGTCTCTTTTTTTTCTTCCTGGTGGAGAAAACTAAAGAGAGCATCTAAAATATACACATATTGGTAATTACATGATGCTTTGCATGATGTTTAAATACAGTGTGTGTAAAGATTGCTTGTAGCATGTTGGTTTACAAGATGTTCTATATAACAGAAACTCCACAGACATCCAGGTGCCTCAAAACGTTCCGAATAGCTCAGTCTGCAGCTGTTGGGAGTGAGTGAATAAGTTGATGACACTGTATAAGGATTTCTTCCAAGATAGCCCTAACATTATTTCCTGACTTTTCCCATCTATTTGCTTTTATGTCCCTTTACAGTGATGCTGATGCGCTATTAATTTGAATAATTTCCTGTGGTTACAATGCAGCTCACTTCCATTAGTGTTTGCATGAACGAGTAAATGATAAAAAAAGCACTGTGGTCTTAAAAAGGCACTATACAAGTACAGGTCATTTCCCTTATTAACAAACAAATGACTTCCAGTAAAAACATTTACAGTTTAGTATGACTAGCCAGAATCATGCAAAATATTAGATTAATTGTCATGATCCTGGGGTCACTCTATGTTACTGTGGTTGGATGACGTGGTAGCCCTGTGGCAGAGGGCTTTCATCACCATCAGCTGGAGTGTTTAAAGGAACAGCAGGAGAGCCATTCCACTGCAGATGATTCCACTCAGTTGGTAGAGTCAAGATTCTAAGAAAAGTTCCAAGTAAAGATCTAGTACTTTCTAGAGTCGTATCCTTCAACCTGTGGGTGTTTCAAGTTTTTTCTTTAGCTGCCTATCTGGATATATCTTCAAGATGGTCTCTTCAAGACCTATCATTAAAAAAAATGTTCTGGTTCACTAATCTCCATGGTCATCCTCGCTGGACCTTCCACCTGCCCACTCTTCAGCAATTCATCATTTTCTCTTCCCTCTTAGGATTCACAGATCTCCTCCGGGAATACTCTGCTCACATGAACACCAGCAGAGCTCCCGCCAACTCACTCAATATCCAATATATAAAAAATTGAAACCGGGTCTCCTTGGTCTCTCTGGTGGTTTATGCATGAACATCACAAATATTCCATACATTATGTGACCAATATGCTGCTCAGTGGCACAGTGAGTAGCACTACTGCCTTGCAGCAAGAAAGTTATGGGTTCGATTACCGGCCAAAGGTCTTTATGTGTGGAGTTTGAATGTTCTCCCTGAGCATGCGTGGGCTCTTTCTGGATACTCCAGCTTCCTCCCACGGTCCCAAAACATGACTGTTAATTGACTCTCTAAAGGTGTGAGAGTGTGCATGAATGGTTGTTTGTCTTTGTTTTGCCCTGCGACCTGTCCAGTATCACTCATTGACAGGTGAAGATGGGCACCAGAACCCCTTGCGACCCCAGCTGGGATAAAGCGTGACGGAAAATGGATGGATGGATGTGACTTATAATCTGTATGCACACCAGGAAAACTCTTCCAAGGTAGAGTGGGCAGTGGTTAACAATTCTAGACGGGTACTCCGGCTTCCTCCCACAGTCCAAAAACATGACTCCTAGGTTGATTGGCTTCTCTAAATTGTCCTTAGGTGTGAGTGTGTGCATGAATGAATGGTTGTTTGTCCTTTGTGTTGCCCTGCGATGGACTGGCGACCTGTCCAGGGTGTACCCCGCCTCTCGCCCATTGACTGCTGGAGATATGTGGACACTAATGGATAGTATTTTTCCTGACTTTTTTGCCATTTTTTATCCACTCATAGATCTGTTTTTTTTTTTTTTAAACCAAGTTTTTACATTAAAAGTAGATTTTTTTTTAAATAAAACATCTAACATTTTAGCTGAAGTGATATTTCCTTTTTTAGATTTTATGGTGTACTTTTCGCTTTATCTGCAACTACCAAGGGCTTTTTTGTCATAAGGTTATTTATTCTTATCAATTTCTGCTCGATCTCCTTTCTTTGTAGTAATTTCTATTGAGCTAGTTCAACTTTCACTGCTTTATAATCTTATAGTATCAGAAGTTCTTTTTTTACTTTTACCATTTAAGTATTGCCTCAACTCTCACCTTAATACTGCACTTTCATTTCTAAGTTTTACTTTGTTTTGATGTTCTACATTTACCCTATCTTTCCTTCTCTCAGATTTTCTCTTATCTCTTCTTTCTAGTTTAGCTTGCTAATTTTGGTTTCCTTTAATCTCTCCCATTTTTATCTTCAAGTCCCTTTTTCTTCTATTTATGTCTCTTCGTGCTTCATTGTCTTTCTGTCCACAGCTTTTATCTACTTCCAATAAATTATTTTCTTCTTTTTATTATATAAACAGTTTTTCCAATTTGTAATCATTGTGACATTTAAAAAGTGAGTCTTCCTTATTTTTATAGTCTTTGCTCTGTCATGCATACAGTGGTGCTGTATATGTAACCCAGGGTGAAAACTGCCCTTAGTCCTGCCTTACTGCCCCATTGGTTAGAGTGACAGTCAGTCACACAGTGCATGCAGCCAATTGACACACCTGAGGCAATTATTTAGGCTTGCTCCAGCTTTCCCTAGTCAGATGTGAGGGGGAGAGCTGGAGACAAAGGAGCTACAGGTTGGTGTTCCCAAACAATCAGTTTCTCTTTGTTTGTAATGCACTGTTTAACCTCACAATATAAAAATCATGTAGATCCGAGAAATCCAGTGAGTTTGGAGCCTTGGAGCTGCCATACTCTCATCTATTATTGGAATTGGTGAGTAGAGAGCACAATGTTTGTTGTTTTAGCATGTTGGTGGCAGCAAATGCTAAGTGTGATCATCAATTGTTGTAATCCAACTGTAAGATAATGAGATAAATGTTCTTTATTTGGTCTAATAGATTAGATTTTGCATTTATTTCTGTGTGAAACTGGAAAAGTCTAGTTAACTAGCCGGCTGGAAATTTACTTGTCCTGTTTATTTTAATACAGGCCAGGTGATCCCTTTTTAGGGAAAAAGATGGCGAGCTTCTGAAAACTGGCTGGAGCCAGGAGAGCCTTAAGAATCACTCCACAGTGGACTGGTCTGTATCATTTCCCCCCTCCATCTCACCACTCAGGCATACACTCCATTATTCACCTCTTCATCTGAAACAACTTGCGCTGGGACATTCTTCAACTTAAATATCTGGATAATCCAACCATGGATTTCTGAATGTGTGTTGGTCAGACTCTGGACTGATCAGCGGGGAATTTAAGACCAGTTGTGCACAAACAAAAGGATTGCCACAGTACTGTGTATATATATTTTTTTGTATTTATTTTGGGTTCTATGTATGTTGTCTTGTATTGTTTACTTTAAATTTGTCTAATACATGGTATTGAAAGCAGTTTTGTGTCGTTTTATTGATTACTGACAACGGCTCCAGTAGACGAATTCTAGTCTTCTGATTTTCTTCCATCTAGTCCTTTTACAATTTAAATAGTGCTACATTATTGGCGAGCTAGCCAGGAGCTGTTTTGATCAGTAATCAATAGAAAACAGTTGAGTTGCACAAATAAGGTTCCTACTCACCAATTCAATTTCCATTATGGAGGTTTTTGAAACCCTTGGTCTAAAAATCCCTAACACAGTATTGATTGATGGAGTCCCAGAGAACCCCACTGATGAACTTATTGATTTTCTTGAACAGTATGGTGATATTAAGCAGAGAACTACCATCGATTCATCTGAATCAGAATTTGATCAAATGTTGGTTGTTGAATTTGATTCTGGGTTGTCTTTAGCATGCTTATCTCCAATATTACCATATACATTTACATCAAGTGTGGGTGATAAATTTCATATTGAAAGTTTATCTGAGATTTATGCTTCAAAGGTTGGTGGTTTAAAGACAAACAAGTATTTGGATGATTTACAAGAAATTGCCAAAATTTCCGGAAAAAATTACACTCAAGTCCTCACAGAAGTGATGTCCCAGATACAGCAGTCTATTGCAGAGTTCTGTCCTGTGGTGCTAGAGAAGGCAAAAGAGGAACAGCTTGCAGATGAAGATGGAGGGCAGCAGCCATCAGCTCATGCCACAACTCAACTCCCTTTTCCTCTGTCGTCCCTCTCACAGTCAGTTCCTCTCCCATCCAGCTCTGCTGTCTCCAACAGAGCTGAAGTGCCAAGTCAGGAGAGGCGGTCCACACCCATTTCCGCTGGTGATCTTAATCCTCCTGAGGTGCAACGGTACGTTGTGGAGCATGTTGTTAGGAGTGGGGACAGCTCTCTGCATATGCATACATCCCATATACTGAGAGCATTCTCTGGAAAAGTCCCCAGGCCAAGTCATGAGACAGACTATGACACGTGGCGTTCAAGTGTTGAATTAGTTCTTCAAGATCCCTCTATGTCACAGCTGCAATGTACCAGAGTAATTCGTGACAGTTTACTTCCACCTGCCTGTGATATAGTGAAACATTTGAGTCCTGACACATTACCAAAAGTATACATGGAACAACTTGATTCAGCTTATGGAACTGTTCAAGATGGAGAGGAGTTGTATGTTAAATTCATGGACACCTATCAGGACAGTGGAGAAAAGCCGTCTGCCTATTTGCAGCGTCTGCAGGTTGTATTACAGAGTGCAGTAAAGAGAGGAGGTGTTTTGGAGAAGGACATGGATGCACGACTGTTGACCAAATTCTGCAGAGGGTGCTGGGACAACAATCTAATCTCAGAACTTCAACTTAAACAGAGAAAAAATAATCCATCATTTGCTGAGCTTTTGTTGTTACTTAGAACTGAAGAGGACAGGGAAGCAGCAAAGACCTTGAGGATGAAGCATCATTTGGGAACCACTAAACAGAAAGTTGCGTCTCAGGTCCAGTTTGCAAATACTGATCAGGAAACTAACTTGTGTGTTGCTCTGAATAACATGACTAAACAGCTTTCACAACAGATGGCTGCAATACAGCAGCAGCTCACTGCTTTAACAGCAGGTCAAATGGGCACTAAGCTACCTTTTGCTGGAAGAGTTACTTCAAAGCCTAGTGTGAAAAAGACTGTTAAAGATGTAAAATTCGGCATGTCTAGCTCTAAACCTGGGTTTTGTTTCTGTTGTGGGGAGGATGGCCATATTAAGCCTCGATGTGATAATGAGCCCAATTCAGCATTGGTCAGTGCAAAGCGGAAAATATTTTATGACAAACAGAAGAGACAGGGACAAAATCCCTCTCCTACAGCACATTTAAACTAGTTCCAGTTCCTGTTGAGGGACGAACAGGAACTGAGCTGGACCAACTTTGTCCTACAGAGAGAGAGTCTGTTAAGTGTGCAAAGATGCAGACAAAAACCAAAATTAACTTACCAAAAGGATTAATCGGATCCAGATGTACAGCAGAAGTCAATATTGCTGGCCACAGCTCTCAAGGTCTTCTAGATACCGGCTCTCAAGTCACTACAATTCCAGTTTCTTTCTTCAATGAGCATCTCTCAGATCATCCAGTGCATTCATTAAATGACCTACTTCATGTTGAAGGGGCTGCAGGTCAACAAGTTCCATATTTGGGTTATGTTGAAATACCAATAACTTTTCCAAAAGACTTTATTGGGAGTGAACTAACAGTTGAAACCCTTGCTTTGGTTGTTCCTGATGTGAGACCTGGATTTCCAGCTTCAGTAATAATTAGCATGAATACACTTGAAATTCTCTATGAAAAGTTTTGTTCCAGTGATTGTCCCACATTCCAACCTACCTCATACGGGTTTAAAACAGTTCTGCATCAGTTAATGCATCAGCAGAACTGTGGCAATCATTTGGGTGTTGTGACTCTCCATAGTAAAACTCCTGTACTTATTCCAGCTGGTTGCACAATGGTGGTCGAGGGTCGTGCCAAGCTTTCTTCTACAGCCAGTCAGTGTGCTGTTGTTCGGCACCCGGTTCCAGGCCTGCCGGGTGGCCTGGTTGTCAGTAGCTGTCTGGTTGCACTTCAAGCTGACTCACTCAATAAGGTTCCAGTTGCTGTTTCCAATGAAACAAAGCAAGTCATTTCCATACCAGCTTTAAGTATCATTGCTGAACTGGAAGCCTATGCAGTTATCATCTCAGAGCATAATGTGACCAACCACATGGCTGAGAAAACATCAACAGCATCTTTGAAAATCAATTTTGGTGAGTCTCCAATACCATCAGAATGGAAGGAAAGAATCATAACTAAGTTAAATGCTGTACCTGAAGTTTTTGCTCATCATGATTTAGATTTTGGATGTACCAAGCAAGTGAAACATCACATTAATCTTCATGATAATACTCCTTTCAAACATCGTGCGAGACCGATTCACCCACAAGATATAGAGGCTGTTCGCAAACACTTACGTGAACTTCTGGATGCTGGTGTTATCAGAGAATCTGAATCCCCTTTCTCATCTCCGATTGTTGTTGTTAAGAAAAAAAATGGAGACATTCGACTGTGCATTGACTACCGTAAACTTAATTTACAAACTGTCAAAGATGCATATGCTTTGCCCAACCTGGAAGAATCATTTACAGCTCTCAGAGGATCAAAGTGGTTTTCAATGCTAGATCTGAAATCTGGTTATTATCAGATTGAAATGAATGAAGCTGATAAAGCTAAGAAAAGCCTTTTTTGTTTCCCCCACTTGGGTTTTTGGGGGTTTTTAACCCAATTTCCCAGGGGGTTACAAATTCACCCCTCAACCTTTCAAAGATGATGGGGAAATGTATGGGGGGACCTGCAAATTTTAAAGAGGTATTGTTTTTTTTAGATGATTTGATCATAAATTTTCCCAAAAAGTCTTGAAGAACATGAAAACCCTCTGCTGAGAGTTCTAAAAACTCTGAAAGGGGTTTTGGAATTTTAAAAATTTTTTTGGAAAAAATTTTAAATTTTTTTCCAAAAACCCCTGTCAGAAACTTGGGTCCCTATAGTTTTCCCGAAAAAAAAGTTTGAGACAGACCCCCGAAAAGATTTTTCCCCAGTGAAATCCTGGCCAATTCCTACTAATTTGAAATCTTTAAGTCTTTTCTGGGATTTACTGGCTATTATAGACGTTTCTTTAAAAAGGGTAAAGCCAAATATTTTCCAAGCCTCTTTTTTCAATTTGAAACCCTGGGTAACCCCCCCCAAATAAAAAACTCCAAGAGTACAATCTTCTAAGTGCCCACAGTTTTTATCCCAAAACAACCTTTTGGTTTTTCCCGGTGGGGCTCCTGATGTCAGCTGGGTTTTTTATAAACCCCGATCAACAAAAATTACTACGCAAACCCTTTCCGGGGTTTTTCTGATCCTGCACTACCTTACATCCTTTACACAGATGCCCCGCACCACTGGGCTGGGTTTCTGGCCCCAAAACCAGGAACATGAGGGGAAGCTCAGGGTAAAAGCTTATGCTAGTCGAGGGTTTTTCAGCCAGCGAAAAATCGTTATCCAGCTCATAAACTTTAATTTTTTAGCAATGAATTGGAGTGTAACAAAAAGTTTCAAGATTATTTGTATGGAGCAATTTTTCCCGTTGTCCCCTGATTTAAAAATCCACCCACTTTCATCCTAACCTTGCTAACTGGGGGCACCATCACGTTGGCTGGCGCAAATTTTTTACCTTTTTTCCTTAAGTTACAGTATCGAGAGGGAAAAAACAACCAGGGGTTTTTGATGCACCTCTCTTCCTTTCCCCGTGAAAAATCCCCGTTTATAGATGAGGTTTTCCCCATAAAATCAGGAAATCATCTCTCAGTTTGGGTCAACCCAAAATCTTTTAGAAAACAGCAAAAATGAGATTCACCTGAAGTGATGGATGCAAACTGCCCAAAATCGCTGGTTCGGACCCAAGTTGAAAAATCTTTTTTTGAATCACCTCAGCAGGGTTTGATGTAATTTTCCCGTGGATTTCTCTGAAGAGGCACATGGACTTCCTGTTTTTTCCTGCAATTTCTCATTTTGACCTAAAAAGATCATCAGAGAGCTTTATCCTACTGTCAGGGAAATTATCCATCATTTGGGTCAGGTGAAAAAATTTTCCCCCCAAAAGCCAGGTTGAACTTCCCGAACTTCATTTTTTCTCCTTAGGGAATTTACAAAAATGGAGAGATTGGGTGGGGTTCTTTTCAGGGGTGGCAAGAAAATGACAATTTTTTATCCCCAAATGGCCTTCCCCGCAGGGGGCCTCCCCGAAAACTGTTTTTTCATAAGGAAAACACAAGGGGGCATGGGCCACCCGGGAATAGAGCAAACCCCGGGGTCTTTTAGGGGCCGATTTTATTGGCCCCAGAAAAGGGTATGTATGTGGAGGGAAAAAATAAAAGCATGTTGGGCGCTGTGTTCGGCGAAAGACCCTGACAGAGAGAGCTGCTCCACAATTAACATTCGGGCTTCACGCCCCCTGGAGCCATTTGTATGGATTTTTTTCAGTCTTGAACCTGATACCAGCAATACCAAAAACATTTTCGTGTTGACAGAAAATTTTCCAAAACCCAAATTTTCCATTGCTTAAATTTCCCAAAACCAAATCAAAAAGGGGAAGGAAAGGTCGCCAAAAGTCTTTTTTGGGCAATTTTCATCATCTATTTTGGAATTCCAGAAGACTAAAATTAAAAGATCAAAGGGTCTATTTTGAGTCCAAATTGATAACAGAGCTTGGCTATGACAGGAATTTTTAAATTTTTATACAAAACCATTTCCCTCCCAGAGGAAACCCCGTAAAAAAGGTTTTTAAACGCACACCTTAGCAATGTTGGGGAAATCTTGAAAAACCCAAAAAAGAAGTCCCAAAAAGGAAAGAATTTGTTAAACCTCTCCCTTCATGCGTACAATTGGGACCAG